ATTTTGCTATTTCGAGATTAAATTCTGATCAAGCTCTACATTTTCCGTCTCTTTATTTACCTTGGCGAGTATAGACGTTATGAATTGAAATTTCATGGTTATTTTCATCGAACTGCTCGAAAGAAGAAGACTTCCTTACGAAGCAAAAATAGGTTGTCAAACTGAAGGATATGAGATAAGCGTAAAAGCCATCGCTCGGTAGAAATTCAATTATTATCCGTATCACACGAAGCTCCGATGTTGAAAATAGCTTCCTCTCTCATGCTGCTCATACAATCCACTGATGCGCGGAATATTGGATAGCTAAAAGCAATTATTTCTGTAATTCAAGTGGAAAGACTTAGCGGTTCATCGTCGTACTAGAACTGCTCTAGCGAATATTCCATGGAAACTTTATTGGAATGAAATTTCACATGGGGAACATGTAAGAAGCTTATCTATGTGTTACAATCTTCGATCTATCAACTTGCCTTTTCATTCTCCCGTCAATAGATTCTAGCTTAGGCAGATGTGTGGAATGGACGAGCAAAAGACAACCAAAAGAAAAAAGAAAGGTATTTTGCATGATAAAGCTCTTTATTGCTCGCAAACTAAAGTTTCTCATTGTTTGACGCGCAAAGTCAATTACGTTGACGTAAACTCCGGGGGGAGGCAGAGTGAGACGAGTAGGGCTTTAGCAAGGCGGAGGCCAAAGAGAGAAAAGACATTATGAGAGTCTGTTAGATTATATTTGCTTATCGCCCATGCTCCACGATATTCCGTTGCAAATGTCTGCAGTCTGGCGTGCTTAACGAACCCAACGACGAGAGAACTTTCGGTGTTACATATAGACGAATAATTTGATTCCAGTGAAAAGTCGACGTAGTGACGGCTTCGCATTTAATCATGTCGACAGTTTCAACGTTATCTTGTTGGCGAATTGATTATTTTGAATTGGAAAATGCAAGGGATAGCATATTCTAAAGAAACGCTTAGCCGGCACAGGGCGAACGGCTGCCATTTGAAGTGGGCTCATTGAATGCCAACGTGTAATGTGCAGCTTTTATTCGACATCGCTGCATCTAATTTCGCTCAGGAATATTGAGTAGCCTCGATGGATTAATAGCGCCCGAAGCATATCGACTGAATTATTGTGATATTAATGTCAAACTATCCGCGAAATCCAGTATCACTGTATGCACGCATCCGAGATATTTGACGCAGCGTTATTATTCCGTAATATTCCTCGCGCAAAACCGACGAATTAGCCTACGCTAAGCTCAACCGTGTAATATCCGCTGACGTTATAATATCAAATTACTATTGCCGACTATTCGAAATCGACGCAAAGTTCCGAAATCGCGCTCGCCTAATGCGTTTTCACATGGTATCTCGCCTGCAAGGACATTTCAATAAATACAGACAGTAACGTGTATCCTGCTTGTCATATAGGCTTTGGACGTAATGAATGGATGGTAAAGTGGAAAGTGGACGACAGGTCTGAGCTAAAAGAATACCCTAACCGCAACCAGTGGCAGTAGTATGGCTTTCGAACACCTTCCCGTGCGGGAAAGTGCATCGACAAAGCAATTATTCACGCATAATTCACGTGTACAGAACTTTCAACTCCTCAAGCTCAACAAGCCTGTTGGTTATTCGGGTATGGGGGTTGCTCGAGAAAATTTCTGATTGTGAATGTTCAAGGCTATTAAATATATTTTCAGTCTGTGTCTTGATTGTTTGCTGCTTAAATAAGCCAACTTATTTGTAACGATTCATGCAATTGTCAACCATCGTTTCTGATATACGCGCGAACGAATATTTTCAGTGAACGCTTGATACACTTATCTCGTAGAAAGCATACTTTTTCAAACGTGTGGTAGTATAATAGTTGACTGTACGACGTTTAATCTGGAATTTTTATGATTGATCAAATTGAGTTATATCGATCAACTAGTCGAACTTGAATACTACTTGAGTTGAAAATTTAATTCGATACGATCACATTACTCCAACAGAAACGCGATGTTGGTTCAATACAAGTGATAGTATGGACATAGCTCGTAGTCTTACTAAATAATTTTTCCTTATCCCTTGGCCGAAAGTGCCTATTTCCCGGCCTGATTTCGCTCCGGGAAGAGGGACTTTTGCGGCCTGTTTGGGAAAAGCGGCGCTGATTGGCTGTTTGGGAAACGCGGCGCTGATTGGCTGAAATGCTTTTTTCTATCCAGGCGCGGAAAGGCTTCGGAAAGAGTGTCCTTTGCGGCGTTTTTAAAAAATGTAGACCCTTGATAGGCAAAATTAGAGTTTTTTTTTTATCTTTTGACCGAAAGGCTAAGAAAAGAGCGCTTTTTACGGCGTCTGTAAAAATGCGGGGGTTGGCTGAAAGATTTTCTTACCAGTCAAACCAAAGCTTTTGCTACTGTACGCCGGTAAAGACGTAGAGTTTGATCTCCGTACATAGTGTTGTGCAAGTGACCTTTGTTTTTCATGCCCGCCCTGACCAGTAAAACCTCGGCTTCGCCTCGTTTTTACAAAAGTCAGGCGGGCTTGGAGACACCTAACCGTACTGCAGCTAGACCAGCTTAACATGATTTAAGCGGAAAGTAAAAAGCACGCGCAGCTACATGGAAAGAATTTCATGTTGAAATGACTAAGATAGCTTAGTAAAAATTTCAGTGACGCCCAGTAAAATTTTCAATCATAAAGTATGACGACTTGGGGTTTCCCCGGATTTTCCCCAAATGTTTTTTCTGTACGCTATAGAGCAGCGGCATTAGACGCGCGACGCGCATGCGCAGCTGTCATTCCCGCACACTCGGTTAGCCTCTAAAAGTTTAGGTATTTCAACTTTACAGAACGATCACCATAATTTTTATTCTCTCCGTGTACACGGCACTTTCGGCCAGGGATAAGGAAAAATAGTATACGACACACGGCCAGATAGTTGGATGCCCAGGCGTGCGTAATATCACTTACGCACGCCCCGGAAATCCAACTTTCTGGCCTAGTGTCGTAATGTACTATTTATAAAATGACTATTGTCAGACTATCAAAGAGCACAGTCGGTAACGTATATTTCTACGTATGAAGAGGAAAAAATACACCCAATACAATGAAATCACACTTTCATCGCACAAGATCATCAGATTTCCGAGCGTGCGCTCAGCGAGCACGTTTCATATTTTCGTACGGCTCATCGCGCTCGTGCATTCGCACATATACGAATCAAGATGACTTTGTGATTGAGCTTGGTTTGCGCGCATTCATTTGTGTCACGTACGCGTGTTTTTGTTGCTTCCTCTTGCTATTTTTTTTTGTTTTTTCGGTTGCGCGTGAAAACGCGTATCGCATAGCATGTACGCAGCCGAGCGATAAATATCACAAAAAATGAAATAAAATAAAAGCTAGTCGCGCGAAATTGCCTTTCTGCCAGTGCCGATTGACGAAACTAATATCGCGGACGTTTTCGAAATAATGGAGATATAGCGGCAAAGTTGTTCTCGCTGGCGAACTGTCCAACCGCTCTTTTTTTGTTTTCGTTTCACTCGATACGGCCTTTCATATTTCATTTGACAGACTCTCGCTGTCTTTTACTTTATTTTTTTTCAAACGAATGCGTTTTACTTTCTGAAATTTACGTCACTAGTGTCGTCAAGCGCGCTCCGCGCACTCGTCTTTCATTTGTACTAATATTCAGTTTTATGTGTTTGAATCAAATTATAATTATTTATAAACGAAATTAATAATTCTAAAATACACCACGTCATCAAAAGATTCTATGCTTTGATATGATAACATCCGTTGATAATAATTATCAATTCAAATTCAATTAAAATTTGTAGGTTTAGTTGTAATTTCAAATCGAATAATTTATTTAACAGAATTTTAGGTGTTTAGTTATAGATAATGGGAAGTGCACTAAGTTCGTTTCTCCTTTTATATTTTTTAAATATATCGAACAGTGAGCTGTGCTTGAAAATTATATTTTCTTTTTTAACATATATTTTTCCACGGTTCTAAACTTTTTGTATGATATCCCCATATCAAAAGATGTATTTTATTGACAAAAATACTGGAAATTAATTTCAGCTCTTTTGGAGCAGTGCTTCTCACAAACTAAATTTCAAAATCTTCACTTTTAATCAAAGTTATACTGTGTCACTTTTTATTTATTCATCCATCACATTTTCCACATTATATTTATATTTATAAATTTAATTTCTGAAAATGTTTCAAGAAATTACACAGCACCATATTAACCAGAGTAACTTCATAGAACTTTATGTAATACAAATAATAACCCACCTGACCATGGTTCAGACAATCAGATCACGAATAAAATAGCTTTCAGATCCATCTCTTTTTTATAAAAATTTGATAAAAAAAGGATAATGCCCATGGGGATATTTATTGCAGTTGTTGTTTTTGTTGATATTATGTGTTTGATATTATCTAAGATAATTGATATTTGCGGATAGATCAGAGATAATGAGTCTATTGCTTGTTTTAATATTATTTCGATGATTTCTCTTGTTATATTGAATTTAAATAATATAATTTTGAAATAATTGGCTTCTACCCAAAACTATTGCTATTTATAGAATCGCATTAATTTTAGTGATAGTTACGTTACTTATATGGATTTGCACAATATATATAATTGGAATTTTTGAAAATCTTTTGAAAGACAAAAGTATTTTTCATATAATAATCCGGAAATCAACCCGCTATAAAACTCGATAAAAATAAAAACCAAGCAATAGTATGCAGAAATTACGATAAGAAAAATCTTTGCTATATGAAAATATTGAAAAATCCGCGCATACAAAGGCAAAGTATACTCTCTTTTTTTTTCTTAAATATTCATTCGGATCCCCGGGTACATATAATTCTATGGCATTTACTTATTGCGTTCAACTCAACGTAAAGCTCGCAAACAAACAAAGAAGAAGAGGTCAACAGGCAAAACCGAAAAGAAATTTAAAAGTTTTGTCGCTTGAGTGTATATATATACTCACGTCTATCGATGAATCGAAAAGTTCCAGAGAAGCCAGTGAGATTGGCAGGCCAACCAGCGGCACGTTCAGCCTCGGTATGAAACTCAAAAATAAGAGTTGGGCCCGAACTGTAAAGGACTCGAGGCACGTCAGCTAGGTTACCACATAGTAGTCCTGACCAAGGCGTGTATTCTGAAACACCACGTACTTCTGGCTCCAAGTGAAGAAATACCTTTAGGTAGTCGCCTCGGGCACAGCTGTAAAACAAAAAAAGCTCATAGTGAAAAAGTTTGCAAAAGTATACTAACCACATGAGAATTGGGAGAAGGAGAAATGTCTTTCTCTCACCCGGCAAGATTAATGGGAGAGGAAACTAGAAACGAGGAATAACAGTTTTGATACTATTCTATGTCTCTGAAACGAGGCTTTTTTCCTTGTTGCTCTTTGTTTCTTATCTTTTCGCTGATGTACCTTTTCTATACTGTCTGGCTAATGCTTCTTGTGTACGCTCGCCGCGTGCGCACGCCAGCTTGTAAGTTTGACGGGTTTCCTATAGCCAATTGTTCGTTGACTGATTTTGAAATGTTCTTCAAAAATACGTATTTGTATGTTAGCAATTGGATAAATATTAAAATATGAATCCACTACAATCGTGTACATTAAGCTATCGGCTTATCGAAGCAAAGTAAAATTTATCAGAATTTAACTCAGTATTTCACTCGTTAATACAAAGGAAACTCAATTTTTAAATAAACCGAAATTTCTGAAAGCTTTCAATTATTTTTATGAAAATATTCAACGATAAATATTTATTTCACGAAGACGTTCTCAATTTTCGTTACGCAAACTTTCTCTTTACCTCTCGCTCTTTCTCTATCTCTCGTTTTGAACGAAAAGCATTTCAGCGTTCCCGCAACCCGCGGCACAAACTGCCGCGCAACCAATTCCGTTTACGTAACGCATGGCACATAAAGTAAAATAAAATCCCCTCTATGACGTTGGCTTTAGTCAGCGTGTAACAGCGAATCTCGCTGTTTAGATAGGTAGATAGAGAGAGAGAGAGTGTGTTGGGACAAAGGGGCCAAATCACGTCATGTGTCAGAAGTGGGGGCCGTCAACGTTGCTGTCTCTTCTATGCGAGGGACTTCTCTCCGCCACGTCTTAGTTTAGTTTCAACTTTCGACAGGTAACTATGGCCGTTCTCACCATGTGCGACTAAAAGAAAGTTAAGGAAATTAAGAAAGTGTCAAAATATCTAACTTGAGATCATTTAACGACCATCTCCTTTTACAACATAATCCAGAAAGACTGTTTTTTATTTGTTTCAATAGCTTCCATTCGCAGAGTGTTTTAGAATAAAATTTTAAGCTCACAAGTCACGCACATGTTGAGTTGAAAATTATAATATAAAACAGAAGGACCAAAAAGGGATTGCGATTATGCGAAAATACGTTCCGTGTAATAATCTCTACTACGCCACTGGAGATTCTGGTGTACGGAGATTGAACAGTCAGGCGATACATTTAAATTGGCTAACTAACCAGAATCCGCGCACACAGTCACGGATTGTGCTAGGGCTAGTTTCTCTATACGTTGCGCATAGTACAGTCGTGGTCGCCGGTTGTAACGCTTTCGGACGTTCAATTTCTGCAAGGCTAAACATCGGCTTGAATTTTCGGACTTGGAAGGACAGCTAAACTTTCGATAGCATGACATTGAATCACTTCACCTAACTTTATAGAGACTGTAGTTTGATGCTGACTATTGTTTTCTTAATTATCATGTGATTTTTGGAATATAGTTACACTTAACAAACTTGTTTAGATCATTAACATTATAAAAGTTAACTGCATCAAGCTTGCAACAACAAAGTACAACGCATTCACGAAATCACGCTTTGACATGTATTATTAGTCACCAAGTCGACTAATAATAAAGCGAGTCTGTTTGTGGAAAATATTTAGTGAAGCATAAGGTAATACGATGATAAAGAGAATTCTATTAGCGTTCCTGAGATTATAGAGTAAGCCTGTGCATTGGGCCTATTATCCGTTGAAGATATTAAGGATCCAATAAATATTCATCGCCATCGATAGTATATTTCATCCTTGATCACGGGAGTAATAATTGACCTACATATAATCCGAATCTGCATTCATATTACCTTCATCATGGAAAACTGGCGATTCGATTGGACTCGAGCTATCGTGCACCGAAACCCCGCCGTTTCAATTAGTCGGGACGAAATGAAAGCGCAAAAGGGTTCGATCTCTCAAGTTTCGTAATAAGTTGCATAAGTGGATCGGCAGGTTAAAGTTGCAAACAAAGTATCAGCTGGCTTGGGAGACAAAAAAAAAACGAGTATCAGCGGATTTTAAAGCCGATGGGGAGAGAAAGAAGCTTTATCCGTTTTCGATCTCGACCGACATCGGGCGATGGAAAAATCCAATCTTAGAGATGACTCTTCGCACTTTTCGACTACATCCTTTGCCTTCTGATGTCTTTGCACCCTTATACAGCTGCAATTCCGAAGGCTTCCCGCCAGAAATCTCTTCGCTTTCTCTACGTATCCTTGTATTCCCTGCCTACTTCTTTTCAACGATAATTCTTTTCAATTCTTAAATCATAACATCAATCATGAAAAATACGCTTATTTATAATGAATAATTGAATTGTTTTACCGATTTAAATGTTTTGCCTTCCTGTGTGGCTCATGTTACTCGATATACGAGAAAATTCGTTGAATCCAGATTCGAGGACATTATTTAAATGAACGTTCCAATCCTGCCATGCAGAAACGATCTTTTTTCGCGAATTACGCCAAATTGGGACATAAATCGAAAGCTCGTTAAAAGCTACTTCTAAATTATTTGCAAAACTCGATACGTAGAATTTTCACATTTTATAATTGTTATCAAGATTCATCAGTTGGCATAAGATCTAAAACATAGAAAAATTAATCGGAAAGCCAAGACTATCGGGATGAATAATGAATCATGCTCTCTTTAATCTAGAATTAAATTATAATAGATAGCGTCTCTTCGCAGGAAGCCAGCCAACGTGCGCACCAAACTTTTATCAGCGTCGTGCCAAAAATTTACATAAGCCAGTAGACGATAATAACGCAGTGAGCTAGCGCGATACATTAATGTTTGACATCGGCAAAAAGCTTTTGGACTCGCGCAGCAAAAGGCCATCGTAACTTTTCCATCTCATGCTCTTTTCTCTATCTTTGCCCTCTTCCTTTCCTTGAGCGCGCGCTGCATTAGCACGTAAAAGAGTTCTCGAAAAAGCAATTACACGCGTTCAGAGAAAAGAGCTGCATTTCGCAGACATTTGATATGTGTGTGTGTGTGTGTGTGTGTGTGTGTGTGTGTGTGTGTGTGTGTGTGTGTGTGTGTGTGTTGTATATATATAAATATTTATAGTCTACGATATCTTCCTATTGTCTGTTGAGTTTTTCGACTAATTTGACTAATTGTGCAGTTAGGCTAATTAGTTTATTTGTTTTTTAATGACTTCCTTTATGTATATATTCTGTAGTGCGCTAGTTTTAAAATCGATGCGTGTATTTGACGTGGTGAGATGAGCGAGCGAGACATCTGCATGTACAGATCTGCTTGACTTCAAGAAGATACGCATGTATCCTTTTGAGTTCATTTTTCAAGCTCCGACAAACGTTAAAGAAACTTGTTCTCAAAGATCCGCACGTTTGAAGCTCCTCAAGTAATTAGAAGAAAAGCATTCACACGTATAATTCAGAATCCGCGTAAGATGAAGAAATGACGAATTCTAGATCTATGTAGACGGCAAGCACGCAAAAGAAATGTAGAAGTGACGACACTCAAGGCGAAGCTAATCTGAACGTCGAAATCACAAAACTCGAGTGCAGGTCGGCGTCGAGAGCGAGAGAGCGAGCGCAGCTACCATAAAAATATTACAGCGCAGCGAGAGAAAGGAAAGCTCGGAGTGGCAAGTGGCGCGATTCTCATGCCACGACGCGTTTTACCCGGGTCAAAACGACACTTCAATAACTTCCGCTTTGCCAGAGAAAAGAGACGGCGCGCTCTCCTACTTCGGTGCACAATGCACGCTCGCGTTTCGACTTGTTTTCACGAACAGAGACTCTCTTGCCCAGATTTGGTATTCAGTGGCGCGATTTCGGTAATTTTATTTCCGCAAGTGGATTGTCCCACCGACTTATTTCAACGACCGGCTACACATTTGTTCGCTATAGCAATGCGGCTTGAGTGCGTTGCAAGTAAATACGATCCGCTGCAGGCCAGCTCTATATCACCAAATAAAGCCCACCCATTTCTTCCTTGGAATTGCGCAGTTCCAGCCATATTTGAAATGCATCGACAAACCTCAGTCTTTACTCGTCATTGCTTCATCAAATATTCCCTTCGTTGGACTGATTGTCGAATCAAAGAGCCGTTATCATTTGCCAACATGGAATCATTACACGTTCGAGATTGAAAAAGGCGACTCCTTCACCTTTCGTCTCGACAAAAGATTTGTGAAAAATTTAAAGCGTCACTGTATCATTCGACGTTCCATCCCTTCCGGTTTAATTGTCAGGCAAGTCGTACTCCGCGCGGGCCGACAGCAGTCGAATATATATCAAGAGGCATGCAGCTTGCCCATTCCTGCCGTCTCTTCCTACCCTCGCGAGGTTTATCGCTCGTGCGAACCCGCCCCCATCCCACTCAAATCCTCGTGGTGGTTGTCTGACCTACCCCCGCAAAATTTCGGACACAATACTACGGTTGCGGGTCTCAGTTTAATAGGATAATAAAGCAAGGACGTCAATAAATGACGTCCTCGGTCTCTTCTTTATTTTTGCCATGCGCACTTTGGTACGCATTAACGTGCCGCGTCGCTCCTTCATTTCATTTGCGCAATTTTGACCTCTTCGCGCTCGATTGGATTTCGTGGCTAGTTACCACCGTCGTTGTCGCCGTCGCCCGAGGGCCAGAGACAAAAAAGGAAAGTTCGTTCAGAGGAAGAGAGACGAACAAAGTTTTTCGCTGGAATTTATTATCCACCGAGTTTCTCTTTGATAAAGGAGTTGCGACATAGAGGTGTGTGTTGTTTCTGAGTCCGTAAGGAAACTTTTTTCCCCTTGTTCATTTGCTCGTCGGTGTTCACAACGTTGGATTTTACGCTAGGAAATTGAGCTTTTCCCAAGCTCCCCAGGCAGCAATGCTTTCAATTAGTGACAATACTATACGTGTAAAAATAATTCTGGGAACAACAGAGTTCTAGTGTACCAAAGCACATTATTTATAAACGTCTTGACAAAAACCAGATTTTTTCCTTTCTCTCGCAGCTACACAGGGCAAGAAAAACGATTTAAAAAACCATACAAATGTAATCAAAAGCCAACAGCAGAAACGACGACAACGCGCAGACGACACATACAAAGCGTCGCTCTATCGGCTAGTAGAAAAGAGGGAATGGAGACTATCTTTTACGAGTGGCGCATTTCTAAATAGTTGATCTTTCTCTGCGCGACCGTAAATCAAAAGTTCGCCCGGCTGGGCATTTAACTTCGGATTCCGGAAATTCGGCACTCTCCCTTCCTCGACATCCTTTCACTATTGCTCGGTAGAAATCTCGAGGCATTTAATACCGTGTGCTCTCTTTCGCTCTCTTTCACTCTCTTTCGCTCTCTTTCTCCTCTTTTTTGTTATTGTATATTTTTACGCGTGTGCAATAGTCTGTTTTTGAGCTTTGACTGATTTACAATGGTGTAAGTGAGAAACAGCTCTCAATGCAAGCTGATTTATACATCTTTGCGGTAAATACTTGATGGTCATGTTAAACGGACAGTCATTGAAACAAGTTAAATGGGTGCTACTAAAATGAACAGGCTACTGGATAATTGTTATCGTATGAATAAATATTCTACTGATCTGACTGTCTCATAACGAAAGACTTACAAAGGGTCGAACGTGGTTATGGTCGTACAGAGATGAGATGCGAATAACAAATGTTGCTTGTGAATTTATTTGGTTATTCTTCTCATAATAATTTTTTAATAGCTTTCTTTTCCACTTTCAAAAGCATAGCCGAGCAAAAAATTATCACGATTTTCAATGCCAGCGTCGTGTACGCATGAAGCTAAAATAGAGCAACAATTCCAAAAAGCTCATACATCAGAGGGGGCATTCATAGCTACGCTACACTATGATGATGAATCAAGTAAACTACACGAAATTTATAGTTACTCTCGAGCTGCGGGCAGCTCATGCACTTTTATCGCACCTCATAAGCTCGGAAATTTATCGTTTTCCACGCGATAAAAAAAGAGAGTAGTGAGCAGCGTTCCTCTCTCAGCCAGTGCGCTTCTGCCGCTATACCCAACTGAATTTCAAACAATAGTCAATCAGACGTATAAAAGAAAGAGATGAAACAAACTCCCCTTTTTCACGCGCGAAACCCTCTCCACGTTTTTCATGAATAAAAACATATAACGCAAGCTTCAATCCACCCATTCCCAATGAAAATGTATGAAAGAGAATAGAAGCATCAATCATATCTAGCACGGAGTATACGTGTATATATATATATATATATATATATATATATATATATATATATATATATATATATATATAAACTCACTTGGGATAGGTGCTGCGGGTGTTGAAATGGTGAAAGGTCAGCTCGACAATCTCATCCTCGTGGCCGTGAAAGGTATAGAGTAGGCAGTCAACGTTAGTTGGGTATCTTTTAGGAAAGTCGGGCGACGTGAAGCTACCGCCCTGGGGATTGTAGCGGCTGCTGTACACGACGCAAGAGCAACCTGCAAACACACAATTTCGTCATTTAAGTTATATATATAGCGAGAGAATTTCTGGAAATAGTAACCACCCTGAGTGAACGCGTAGAGCTTTTAATTCGCACGGTGATTCGTTATTTACGTCGGGGCGCCGATAATATTGGCCTTTGGTGATAAATTAAACCTTCGTCTCTTTTTTTACCTACCGTTGCCTTTTCCCATATTTTATCCATTTTTCTTTCCTTTTCGCGTTAATTCCGCCACCGTGTGCCTGCCTCTATTCTGCGACTCGCCGACGCGCGGTCCTTATATTAATTTATTGGCACACGACCGGCATGACATATGGCCAAGTCTATAAGAGAAACAAATATTCCTAGCGCTGAATTTTCGTTAATTATAATACTCCGGGAGTGGCCTATCTGAATTGGGAGAAATTTACATTAGACTTCTGATCAATTCGAATTTGAATGCTGATCGATACTTTTAACATTATTATAAGGATAAGGAAAGGTGGGAATGAGGCGAAAAATTTGAATTAAGGCTTATCTTTTAATTAAAATTTGTGTTCAAATAACAAATAATTGCATCTCTAATTGCAAATCCAACCTAAATAGTTCGTTGGCACCTTAACGAATAAATAAAATAAAACCTTCAACCTGTTGAAAAAAGAAACGCGGCAGAGTAGAAAAGGAAGATGAAAGACTGAACAGATTTAATTGGTATTTTTTCTTTAAAAGCAGTATTTTTCACTGTAACGAGGGCCACAGTCAGCTTGTAACAAGGAGACGAATGGACTTCATTTTTACTCGGACATAACATTTAGAGAAAGAGAGAGAGAGTTTTTCCTTGCCTTCGAAAAAAACAATTGAAGTCTACCTCTTTTTATCAAAATTACGATTTACGAGTAAAATCGTTCGAGCAAATTATCTAATTTCATAAACTTTTATGAGCAGTTTGCCAGAGAAAAAGAGAAACTAGGAAATGCACACACGTGTATTTAAACGAGGCGCATTAGCGTCAGATCGTGGGTGCATAAGCGGCGCACGTTCAGACCCTTCATCCTAAAGTCTCGGCCGCACGCGAAAGAGCGCAAAGTATCGGGCTTATCTTCCGTCTCGCTAGCCATGAATAACAAATACTATGAGCGCGTGGCTTGATTTGGCTTTGTTTTATTTCTTCTTTTAATGGGCGACATGCAAAATTTTGTGACTCTTGCCGCAAGCGAGTCGCGACGATATAAACTTTGTTTACCAACTCACAAAGCTTTCATGCTATTATTTTGGAATAAGATAGCACTTAAATTTCAATTTCGAGGTAGTTCTCAGGTACCTTTGTTTATGGTACATTAACACTATTTTTTGCAACGGTATAAAGCAGTTTTTTTAATTGATTTATCAGTAGTAATGTCGATTGAACTTTCAGTAGAGGGATAAAAGTTTCTCAATGGGTCTCTTGGGTAGGTGCGATGGTCGCGTGCGTATTGCCGCAGTAACTCCACATAAATAAGTGTTTTGAGCCTTATGAAACATAACGCAGCGATCTTGAAAGCTCATAAATCACAACTGGAGAATGAAAATTTATGCGTTTCTCCAATGAATAAGGACTTTGCAATTAGCGCAGCATGAAAGTAAAACACTAGAAAAGAGTCGTTAGGCGAGAGTATTACGGTTGAAAGAAAACACAAATAAATAAAATTGTCCATTCTGTCTCTTTGAAAAAATTTAATCAAATAGTGAACCGCGCGTGTGTACCAACTGCGTATTGAGAGGCTGCTGCCGCATCGTCGTAGCATTTCTTTTCGCTGCCCCGCGGCAGTTTTATTTCCTTGGCGTATGTATTTCCCGCGAGCTGCCGTTGGCCTCCTTTGTGTAATTCTTATCGTCCCCCTTACTACTTGCTCGAGGGTAGGTTGACAGGCGCATGCCAGTCCAGGGAGTCGCGAGATACGCGACATGCTGCAACGCTACATACTCTCGCTCTCGCATTGTTATTTAACTCGCGCACTATAGCTTAGGCTAAGGAAAGTTAAAAAAATGGAGAGAACAACGCTATCCGCTTTGTATTTACGAGTTTCCGGTTAGATACAGATTGCTCGACCACTCTAGCAAACGTTGAGAGCACACGAGGTTTTACTGACAATCCAATAGTTTGTCGGGCAATTCTTGCGCTGCGTGTACATTCCAGAAAATGTAATCGTTGCAAAATTCCTTTTTCATTTATATTTTTCTGTTCATACAATATTTCTCTATATTTGCTAATATTCAAAACGTTGAATTTTTCTGCACGTTTTTCTTTTTTTCCTATAAAGCCGGTTGTTACTTCAAAAATCCGCTCGTACCACACTAAAGTTTACATGAAAAATATCAATAAAACAATGGATATGGCTGCTGGTATGATATACAGTATATATCGCTCTGTGAAAACCTATTTCAACCTCGAAATATTGAAATTTGATATCGAAAAACTGACATTTTGTAAATTTCACCAGAACGTACAGTATTCGGCGTGCTTATCAAAGATATGCGCGCGCGACAAGCGCGGTTTCGTCAGTTGTCACGCGAGAAAGTTTCTTTGTATATGAAACAATCGCAAGCACAGCGTCAATCACTTTTATTGTAATTCCCGGTAAACACTAATCATTCTGGCTGTCGTTGAAATAATTAATCTACTAGCCAACGCGCGCAATGGATCGAGAGAGTAGGCGCAACCATATAATTAACGTGTACGAATGGCAATGCATGCATTACGCACACCCCGTCAATAATAATTCGGCCATTGTATCGTCCGAGGTGTGCCGATTTACGAATGCGACCGTTTGCGGCTATTGCACAAGCACATATATATCTTCGTGTGGGTATATCTATTACTAGCTGGATTTTCACTTCCGCTCGGTTCTCACCACTTTTCCCCGATGACGAGCTTCGTCGGTCAGAATTCTTTTTTTTTTGTTCGTTCGGTCGGAAGGGAAAAGGAAGTGGTTGTGGTGGTTGCTAGATCAGACTACTCGGGCGTAGGAGAATGGAGAATTCATTATCGTGCATTTGCTGGTGAATAAGAAGACTTGAAACATGTAATTTTATTTTTGCTCGGGAAAATAGTTCGTTCAAGTACTTTAGTTTAAAACTTTCGTTTGTTAAAATTAGTGTTCGCCGTTTGCAAATAAAACTTGATTAATGAACTTGAGAATCAGGTTAAAATTATTCGTAATGAAATTACATTGAGTTGAATTTTTAAATTACATAATAAAAATGTAGGTATTTATTTACAAGCTCTTAGATGACTGTCATTGAGCTATAATTGTACGAGTGATAAAATTATTGATTCAATTCAGTGAAAGCTGAATTTTTGAAAAGTGAAAGAGTAATAATCCGATGTAACGCAAAAAACCAGTCGAAATGGCATACTCATTGACACTCATGTTTCAAATGTTTACGACGTAATTTAGATGGTGTTTACGCTATTGCTCAAGGCAGATGAACGGCTATACCAAGACGTATATTATGCTACCGGACACACACTATATATCCACGCAATAAGTATGACACAATATCCATTAAACAGTTTACACTTAAAATGTTGATACAGACTTGCACGATAATTTATTAGATAACCTAAACCTTCTAGATCTCAATAGAAACTTCATACTTATAAAAACTTATGCATTAGATAAAAAATTTTGACTTATAGGTGTGCATAAATTCTTACTACGAACTTTTTCTTTGTAACACTTTATTGAATTTAAGCTTCGATATTCAGTGCATAATCTAACATACTGTCAGCTTTTATAGCGGCGATTTATCCTCCCTGTAAATTTTTTCGGCTTTATAGAATGGTAAATCCAAGTACTAGCTTTCTCGAAGTCATTCTTCATTTAAATTAGTTGGACGATTATTAAAATATTTATGTTTAAAGAATAAAAATTTTGTTTTCATAATTTATAAGTAATGCAATATCGAGCTCCATAACATAAAGCTTATAATTTCATGTTGAAGTTTGAATTTAATTTCAGTAATGTCCGTACCAATATTGTCCATATATTGCAAGTTCAATAATTCCATTTGGAAATTCTGAAAATAGACATAGTAGCTGAGAGTACTACACTGTTCTCGTGGGAACATTTGAATCAAGAATGTATGATTATATACGACAATTAATAATAATTGTAAATATATGCAGGTAAATACACTGGGAAATCCAATAGTTCCAAGGTAATTTCTTAGTGGACGAAAGGGCTTAATTGCTCAATTGGCCCGATTGGCGAACCAATCAAATCTTCCAATCTTACACTTCGGATTTTCGCGCGTACAGCTTCGTTATACTTAACAATATCACTCACTCGCATATGTCGCTAGCAAGTATTGCTCGATATATATGTAGAAAGAATTTTATTGGCCCTCATTACGGAATAACTGCTTCAATTAAATACCGGGCTCTCGGTCAAATTTATTTGCCGAAAAATTTTAGAACATGCTTGCATTGTGTTTTTCTTTCGTCGTTGTCACAATCAATCTCGCTTCAGGTACGTTGAGAACGTGCATGTTGTTAATAAACATTGATTTTTTGCCTCCGTCATCGCACGGCAAACTGACCGCAAACATTGCAAGCCATACGCCAGGATTTTAACGAAGCACGCTCGACCGAGCGGATTAATCAAGTTCAATCTGGCGCGTGATTTTTGGCCCGATATGATATATAGAGGCTGCCTGCTGCAAACCTGCTGCACTGCACAATTCATACATTACACACGGTCGAGCTTTTATTCGCAGAGGGCAAAGCAGCAACACAATCATTAAGCAACGCGGCTGGCGCGTGTATCGCATTAGCCGCGAACAATGAATTTAAATTTGTGCGCCGTTTATTTGCTCGCGCGTGTACGTGTATACGAGGCCGAGGCCATTTATGCGGGCTATAGGTGAATAAACGGATCCGCGCCGTGCACACTGCGAACTTTAACTAACAGTCGCGTGGCTAGCAATGCGATGTTTGATAGCGCTGCCGCGCGTGCTTTATTGAATTTCGCGCTC